GAGCAAGATCCGTCTCCCCACCCTGATGTTGAGCCACACCGGCTATGGAAGAGCAGCATGTCGGAACAGCTTGCCAAATAAAGCATGCACACGAATCGTCGTCGTGAGTGTCCTTTTACGTTCTCATCCTGGCGGCGCGCCTCAGTGGATAGGGCGAGCGGGTGACCTTCTAAGAAGACTGCACGCATCGTGCTCCCATAAGCAAAGCTGGAGAAGGAACGACGGGACGGGGCTTCTTGGCCACGGCGAGCCTCGGCCACGAACGACCCCGGGCTAAATTCAAGGAAGGGCCCGGAAACCACAGTCTCTCGTGAGCCCCAAGTCGCCCTTATCTCAGCGTCCTGGCTGCACTGTAAATATCGTGTGCTGCAAAAGGGGAAGACTCTCACGCCAGGAAGCGCTCGGCTGGCACAAGACTGCGGGACACGCGCCTTCGGTGGCGAATCGGAGCAACGGCTCTCCTCCTCCTCCTCCTCCTCCTCCTCCTCCTCCTCCTCCTCCTACTCCTCCTCCTCCTCCCTCGAGCCTCCCCCTCCTCCACCTCCCCCCTCTCCAGGAGGGAACAGCCCCGAGAGGTCCTCCCCTCCGGGCGCGGGGGCCTCTCGGAGCGGACCCGCCCGGAGGTTTTCCCCAGGAAGGGGCTCCCCAGGAAGGCGGGAGCGGCTCCGAGGGAGCCCCACGGCCCACGCACGCTTGGAAGGCCGCCCCCGCTCACCCCCCCCCCCACCCGAGCGCCGCGGATCACTCTCCTGATCTGTCATCCTCGTCCTCCTCCTCCTCCTCCCTCTCTCCTCCTCGTTTCCTTGACGCTGCGCGGACCTGGATCTGATGATCGTGGCGTCTTCCCTCCGCCTCCTCCTCCTCCTCCTCCTCCTCCTCCTCCTCCTCCTCCTCCTCTCCTCCTCCTCCTCCTCCTCCTCCCCCCTCCTCCTCCTCCTCCTCCTCCCTCCTCCTCCTCCTCGTCCTCCTCCTCCTCCTCCTCCTCCGTTCCTCCTCCGTTCCTCCTCCGTTCCCCTCTCCGTTCCTCCTCCTCCCCTCCTCCGCCTCCTCCTCCTCCTCCTCCTCCTCCTCCTCCTCCTTCCTCCTCCTCCTCCTCCCCCCCCCTCTCCTCCTCCCTCCTCCTCCTCCTCCTCCTCCTCCTCCTCCTCCTCCTCCTCCTCCTCCTCCTCCTTCTCCTCCTGACCGGGGCTGGCGCGCTGCCCTAGCAGCAACTGGCTATGAGCACTTTCTAGGACGACCCTGTCGGGATTGGGGTTATGCCTCGCATGGTCCGCCGCAGACGATCTCGTACATGCGCTCGCCCACCGCCCCGGCCCCCTCTCTCCCCTCCCTCTGGCATGAGGGGGAGGGTTCCTGGTGGAAGAAGCTTTCAGGCCCCTGGGCTCTCCCGAAGACAGGCGCTCTTCGTCCCGACCTGGGCCCCCGCTCTCGTTGACGCGCCGGTCGGTCATGTGGTCTGCTGATGAGTAACAGGTTGCGTGCCCACGCCCGGGAAGAAGAACCCAAGGGACGACGATGATGATGGTGATGATGATGACGATGATGATGATGCTGATGATGTTGTGTGGCTGCTGATGATGATGGTGATGATGACGGTGAGTGGTTGCATTCCTTTTCCCAACCCCTAGCCGGCGACGAACGTGCTTGTTTCAATCATGGTTCCGAGAGGAGGGCGACGAGGGAACGATGGAAGAGGAAGACGAGACGAGGGGGATATAATGACGACCCCAAAGCGCAGAAACGACAACGCGAGAGAACGGGAAACGAGAGCGGGGGTGACAGAACGACGAGGCAAGACCGAGCAAAAATCCGGGTTCGAGGCCTCAAACTCCAGACCCAGCGCCGCGCGAAGGAACTAGACTGCTGGAGCGAAGCAAGACAGCAACACTCCAATCTAGACTGGCCAGCACCACGGTGAAGAGCAGCCCGACCAACTTTGCCAGCGCCAGCGTCACCACGGGGAACGGCACAGACAACTCTGTCAAGAAATTAAGCTCGCTCAGCAACAGTATCACGAGGCCCGTCACACACAATACTCCTGGGAAAGGCGGCGCGACAAGGCGCATGCGGAAGACATAAAAAAGGAAGCGCATCACCACCATCAGGAATGGCAGCACCGTCAGGCGGGCAAACAACCTCGTCGCACTCGATTTAGCCGAAGGAGTAGCGGTGATTGTACACCTTGAGGTGCGGGCAGCCCTGCAGATACCCAAGACCGTAGCCAGAAACTACGAATGTGGCCTGGTCAGCGACGAAGGAAGACACCGGGGTGACAAATATCGTCAGCGAGCGCCTCTTCGCAACCGCACACCCCACGAGGAAGGTAGCCTCAAGGGTAGCATGTCCGACAGCGGAATATTCACGATGACAAACACAATCACCACGAGCCGCTGTATCCCGAACAGGATCGGCGTCACATCGAAGAGAACCAAGGCCGACGAACGGATTAGTCTCCTGAACATGGCCACCAACAGCACTCGCATGACGAACGCTTGGCTGG